AGGCGAATCTCTTTGAGTTCACAGCCAGCCTGGTCTACATAGAGAGTTCTAAGACAGCCAGAGCTACATAATGAGGCCCTGTCTCTCCCCCCCCAAAATTCATTCATTAATTAACTAATTAAAAAATTTTAAAGTAAAATAAAAGCTTGTACATGACAGATCTATTTCTGACCGGGTGGCTAGGCTGTTTTCTGCTCATATCTGCCTCCTTCAAATGTCCCCACCTAGATTGACCTTGACCACAGTTTAATACAGAAATCACAGGAAATTGGGAGTGGGGGTTACAGAGGAGATGGGCAGATGGGCGGAGTAGATAAGGCATCCATAAAGAAGCTCCCAGCATGCACTCAGAAACTCGCCTGTCCTGACCTTGAGCCAAGCCCTCAGTCTCTGCTTCCGTTTCTTCGCCTGTAACTGTGAGGTGGTGCTGCCCATCTGCCCGGGTTACAGCGAGAATAACAGGGGGTCGGGAAAGCACTCTGGAAAACAAAGAGTATTCTAGCAACGTGAGCTCTTTTCCCCCACTCTGAGGCAGGAGGACATCTGTGTGGACCCCAGGGACCTTGCCTGTGATTAGCCAGATTAAACAGGCAGTTCTTCTTCTGCTTGTCATGGCCACAGCTGCCTGCCAGCAGCTGGAGCGCTCAGGAGACTGCAAGGGAGGTGGGCTTCCAGCAGGGGAGGGGAGGTTGGCACCCAGGGGCGGCTCTACCGGCACTAGCTCTGGTCCCTGTGGGCTGTGATACATAGACACCCCTGAAACAAATGGGTCTGTTCTGAATCCCAGGTTCTGTTCTGAATCCCGGGTCAGTCACCACCGAGGGAGCTAGCTCTAAGTCTGCCTTGAGAATTGATATTTAAAATCTCAACCTTTTTACTCTTTGGTTTCTTTCCCTCTCATTCAAGAAGGAATGAGAAAGGATTTCACCATAGTTTTAAGGGCACAACCAGTCAGTCTAGAGTTATAAGGGAAATGCTCAACACCTAAATTTGTCCAACTTAGCAGCTCTGCAACCTGAAACTTGTCTGTGACACTCAGAACATCTGCTGGACAGGTGTCTCGCCCACTTCCTGTGTCGTTCTGTGAAGGAGGGGACAGCACCAAGAGCTATAGCAGAAAGGGTCCCTTTGTGGGTAGGAAAGCTGAACCCAGATCAGAGCTGCCTTCAAGGAGAGACACCCCTGATGGTGCAGATAAAGTTGGGTTAGGCGCCCTAATAAAAGATAAACATTAGTAATGAAGGGGGAAATCGAAGAGATTACTTTTGTGTTAACGCAGATCACACACAGGGCAAACAAGAAAACTAACCAATATCCTCAAGTCACAGACTGAGGTGAGTCGCAGGAAGGAATTGTATAGGGCTGTGAGAGGCAAAACCAGGATTTCAGGGTTCTGCTGAGGGTGAAGGGGTTCAGGGCAGGCCTCCCTGAGGAGGGAGAGAGGGTCAGGACAGGCCTCCCTGAGGAGGGAAAGAGGCTCAGGGCAGGCCTCCCTGTGGGTGAGGGGGTTGGGGCAAGTCTCCCTGAGGGATGTCATTTGAGCTGTGAGTCCAGCCTTTCCCAAAAGAGGTATAGAAAGGACTCAGAGGGCCAACCATAGAGTGCCTGAGGGACAGCAGGTGTCCAGTGGGGCTGGGGGGGGTAACAGATGAACATAGAAGTCTTCTTGGACCGCCAGCCCCCAAATCACAACACAGAGACTTATTATTAATTATGACTGCTCAGCCTTAGCTTTAGACTTGTTTCTAGCTAGCTTTTTTTTTTCTTCAGCTTTTAATGAGACGGATCAGATGTGTTAGGCAAGCAAGGTGAAACAATAACATATCTTTACATAGTTAAACAAATGCAGCATAAACCAAAGCAACACACCTTTTTACATTGTTCAACAGTTATTCACAACACAAACAAATGTACCACATCTTGACTTAAACAAGTATTCTATTCCACAACAGATGAAGGTATGAGGTTAGATAAAGGCAAGAAAGGTGTGTGTGTGTGTGTGTGTGTGTGTGTGTGTGTGTGTGTGTGTGTGGTGTGTGTGTGTGTGTGTGTCTACGCAGGGACACATTTCCTCCCTGAGAGGATGGCCTGTAACTTTCATCAGACTTCCGATGAAGTCAGTGATCCAAATAAGCTCCAAGGAATTCTCTGAATCAAAAATTGTCTAGACTCCATCTACTAAAGCCTTATAATAATTGTACCAAATGATTTTTTTTTTGCCCTTTCTGATTCCTGGAAGTGCTGAATTCTAAAGCAGAAAAAAAAAATGCAGTGCTGGGCTCTACTCCCAGCTTTTCTCCAAGGCTGCAGGACAAGGCCAGGGGCAGGTGTGGTGGTTGGACATGTGGCACAGCATCCATGGTGATGGGGGCAAAGTGAGGAGGGTCTAGGAAGCCTCCAGAAGTGGCCTCTCTTTCTCTGGGCTGTGGCAGAAACGCAAGGCCACGGGGATGCGGGATGGCCACTTTCCAGCGGTCCCGGCAGGTGCAGCCAGCCCTAGCTCCACTGGCAATGACCAGAGGCCTCTCTTCTGCCTGCAGCCTCCTCAATGCCAACAAGATCAACTGCCTGCGGGTGAACACCTTCCAGGACCTGCAGAACCTCAACCTGCTCTCTCTGTATGACAACAAGCTGCAGACGATCAGCAAGGGGCTCTTCGCTCCTCTGCAGTCGGTCCAGACCCTGTGAGTACACTGCCCTGGCAGTGGCAGACCCCTACCGCCAAGACGAGGGTGGCCTGAGGCTCTGTGGGAGGATTCTAGCATGTGCAGCAGGGATGGGAGATGGAGCTCAAAGCTCTTACCTGTATGGGGCATCCCAGCAGGGCCTAGCCGGGCTGGGGGTTGATCTCGCTTTCGGACATGTAGCCTCACAGCAACCCAGGAGGATGCCACCGTCATCCCCAGATTCTATGTGAGGAATCCAAAAAGAGTGAGGTGCTGCTTACTCAAGGTCACAGATAGTACAAAGCAGGATCCCAAGGTGGTAGAACTTGCGAAGCTATGCTCATAAGCATGGTAGCCATGGTAGTGTCCTAAGCAGTCTCCATATCCGTGAGACTCCATCCCCTCCTTCCGGAAGCTTCCTGCACCCTGCGAAGCCAAGCCTCTGATAGAGGCTTTCTGGGCATACCTCACGCACGCAGAACTCAACTCCCAAGGGTTGCTGGTGTGTGTAAATACCACAGGTAAACAGATGAGTACAGATCTCAGTCTGTGGTCTTGGCAGTTCCAACCTCAGATTTCAGCCCCAGCTCCAGGCCCGCAGTGAGCCCAGGGGTCTCCTGGGGCCCCTGGACGTCATCCGGCCCTTAGTTCCTAGTAGCGAGAGGCAGGAACCAATATAAAATGGGAACAGCTGCTTGTTATTGATTGCCGACCACGTGTGAAGCTCCGTGCTTAGGGCTGTGGAGGTTTCCTTGGTGCTCAGAAGAGCCCGACGCCCATGGCACTCCCGTGATTCTAAGGCAACAATACTCACTCTTATATATGGAACAACCGCCATTCGCCAGTTGCTATGCTAGCTGCCTTATGTGCCTGGTATCACCAAGCTTGGAGAAATAAGATGCATGTTACTCGGCATGTAAACTCTGAAGCTCTCACCTGGCATTGCCCCTCAGAGTTGGCATGGGTGAAGTGGAGCCAGTCAGCAGTAGGTCCTGCCCCGAGAGGGGAGAGCAGGGAGGCTGATTGCCCAGACCAGATGTTGGCTGCATCTGTGCTGCGTTTGGCAGACAGCTGGCCGCAGACCACCGTTTCCCCCCCCCCCTTTGAGTCCTCTCCGAGAGCAGAACCTCAGTACCGGTTTGCTAGCAACACTAGTTCGCTAGGGCGCAGCCCAAGGCAGGGTGGTGGTGAAGCAAGGTGCCGCAGGTCACCCCGATTAACAGCCCTGTCCCTCTTTCAGCCACTTAGCTCAAAACCCATTTGTTTGCGACTGCCACTTGAAGTGGCTGGCTGACTACCTTCAGGACAACCCCATTGAGACAAGTGGGGCCCGCTGCAGCAGCCCACGCCGGCTGGCCAACAAGCGCATCAGCCAGATCAAAAGCAAGAAGTTCCGCTGCTCAGGTAATCAGGTTACTGGAGTGGGGCCCCACTTTCTGACTCAGAATACAGCAGCCCCAGAGAGGCCAATAATCCAATCTGGAGGACAGCGAGCACTGTAATGGCTCCTGGGGAGCATCTTTGCAAATTAAATTGGGGAAATTCAGTTAGCCCTACAGAAAACCAATTACCTTATGGATTTAAAATAAAACACACTCACACAATAAAAGCGTGGGGGAGGGGCGGGCGGCTTGGGAGAAACAGAACCCAGGCGCGGTCCAGGAGGAGCTTGCTAGAAGCTTGAAGACTGGGCAGCCTTCACTCACACCCGTGGACTTGAGAGGAGGCCAAGATTTATTTTGTCGTCTCTGAAGTCCATTCCCCAAATGGCACAGAAATATACAGCCCAGGCAGGGCTGCAGCCAGACTTTCGTACAGCCCTCAGCCATAATGGGTTGGGTTACAGGTTTCACAAACACCTTCCCTATCTCCTTGAAGCAGATGGCTGTTCTCTGATGATACGGGACACAGCAGGTTTGTGGGGAGAAGCAAAGCCCTGTGTTCCCATGCCCAGCTCTGTCTAGAGACTGTCTCCCTCCCTCCCCCACCCAGGAAGGACAGGGAGACGAATGGCGAGCGAATTCGCAGCCCACCTTGGAAAGGAAGGTGGTCTCCTTGACCAGTGACTGCTTGAGCAAGCAGTTAGATGTCATTTCATTTTTCTCTTTTTCTACCGGAAAAGATCAGAACGGTCCTCTGTGCACTGTGACTGATAAACCCACAGCAGGAGGTCCTGAGATAGGGTGAGCCGACCCTGACAGTGTGTATCTCAGCCAGAATTGCGCTCCCATCTATCCCAGAGAGTGCTCAGCCAGTGTGTTCTCCCAGGAACAGTGCCAGCATGCGGACTGGCCATCAGCAGACCAGCAGGCAGATTTTGGCTTCTTTGTATCATGTTCTTTGTGCTTTAAGTCAGATTCTGTCGTATGTTTCACTGGGATGGCAAACCTGAGCCTTTTGTCTTATTTTATTTGCAGAGGCAAATACCCGGAGGGGGTCTAGAGAGATGCAGGGACTTTGTGGCAGTCAGGGCCTTGTCTTATTTGCCTTCCCCAACATGGTGACTAGAGCGACAATTTCCTGTGCGGAGCACTGTGCTAAGTGATCTGCTTTGATTTGCGGTTTCTGATAGCTGCTTAAGGTCAGCAGAGGGAGCTGAGGGCTCCAAGGTGAAGGTCACCCACACACCACAACTTCAACCAGTAGGGTCAGGACCAGGCTCCTCATCGCTCTCTCCTTGACACTGTTAATATCTAGGAGGGAGGCCGCAGCCCACGTGGCTGAGCAATTAAGCGCTGTGCGCTCCACTGCAGGGATCCGTGTTCGAATCCCCGGTCCGGAGGTCCAACAAACACTCCATCTTTTGGTGATAACGATAATCGATAATAAATCGTTATCAATAAGTAGGGGGAAAAAAGTTAGCAGCTTGAGCCGTGGCTCAGCGGCTAGGAGCGCCTAACGCTCTGCTCTAGTGCCAGGGGATGCGGGTTTGATTCCTGCCTGGTGATAGCGATAATCGATAATAAATCGTTATCAATAAATTGGAAAAAATATCTAGGGGGGAGGCTGTCCAACTGCTTGAGTTGCTTTCTTCCTAGTCTCGTGGATTCACTTCTTACCCCCAAACACTTTCTTTAGATTCCTCCTTAAGTCTGGTAGCATCTCTAGGTAGAAAGTCTCCCTCCAGCAGCAAGAATCCTCTGTAGCAGACCAGCCCTTCCCAAGGCTTTCCTCATGACTACCCCCAGTGTTCTTTCCTCTTTTGTCTTTGCCTACTCAGGTCTGAATTAATTAGCCTGGCCAGTTAGTCGTTCCCATTAAAAGGGTCTCTGAAATCAGAGGAAGGCAGGAAGCCACCTGCCGTCCTTGACCCTCAGTCTCAGGAGTGCCTTGCCCACGCCCCAAGGCCTCAAGCTGAGCCTAAACCTTGGGTGACAGTACAGGGTTATGGGTGACGTTGGATCCAGTGACCAGTGCCCTATAATATTAGTCATGGCAGTGACCTAGCGTTAACCGAGGCTGGGACAGGTAGCAAGGTATGGGTGATGCGTACAGAAAGAACAGAGTGGGGAACGAGAAACAGACATTGGAACTGGGAAACAGTGAAGCTAGATTTGAAATCCAGCTGTGCCAATGTCTACCCATCTACCTTGGTGTTGACAGGATCCTGGCTTCCTGTGAGGGGCAGAAATGGGGGGCAAGGATAAAGAGATGGGGAGAAGAGGGCAGAACTCTTGAGCTGAGTTTGTCGAAAATATCATTTTAAGAAATACTAAGTGGAAAGCCTATTCCTGTAGAGGTAGTGGTGTTCAGAGTCCAAATGAGCTTTGGCTTAGAACATTTGGTATGCTTTCATGTAGCCATGGGGGAGGAGCAGCAAGGTTACCACCGAGCTCCAAAAGCCTTGGCTTTTGAGAAACACCAGGACCCATACCTCGGCTTTGGGGAATACAGAACCCTTACGCTTGAAGATTTGTGTTTCCATAAAGCTCCAGAGAGGGGAGGGGAAGGGGTGGCAGATGACAGGGACTGGAGCTGACAGATAATCACTCTGTGTTTTACTTTCCCCTAAAAGCAGCCCCCTTGAAAAGACCGCTGATGTGATTAGGAGCCCATTTGAGGGCCGTTCTGCCGTGCACACAGCCTCTCCCTGGGTAGAGCATCTGGCTTCCTAGCCGGTTTGCTCTGCCTCTATCAGCTGCAACCATCGCCCTGTACTGAGATCTGTTCAGGGGTGGATGCTGCCTGCCCACCAGGGGTGATCTAGCAGCCAATTAAGTCCTTCAGCGCAGGCCCACCTGGGGAGCACTTGGCAGCTGGAGGACACTGCCTGTCTTCTGTCAGGCTGTCCCCTTTAGGGAGAAGCCGTTCTTATGGAAAGGACAGGACTCTTTGGGTTTAGCTCAGGGTCACTTTAGAGACCTCAGAGTTCATCCAGTCCACTCTCGAGACAAAATTGAGACCCACAGCAGAAAAAAAGGGGAAAAAAAGTCCAGGCTGTGATTTTCTGGACACAACCTGAAATACTATAATGATTTTAGCATACTAGAAAGATTCCAGACCATTTGCCTCTGGGACCTTCTGTGTCCTTTTAGAAAAGCAAAGCAAGAAGAAGACCCAGAAGGAACTTTATAAATTACGTTTTACTTGGGGAGAGAGAGAGAGAGAGGGCGCGCAACAAGAAATAGCAGAAGTATGGAGATCATAGGACAACCTTCAGGAGTCTGTTCTTCTGTTATCTGGAGCTTGGAGATCAAACTCACGTCACCAGGCTTGGTAGCACATGTCACATACTGGCCCATCTTACCAGCCACACAAGGAGGCTCTAAAATTTGTGAAATGTGACCTACTCATACTGAGGTACTGATCAGACTCACAGGAGAAATCTTAGAAGCAGAGTGTTTAACAGCCCTGCGGTCGCAGGTGTCAAGCTGCAGCAGAGCCCACGTTACCATTATTGTAGCCTGTGAGATCTGGACGAGGAGAGAGAGATGAAAGGCGCTAGGCAGGGACACGGGCGTATACTGTCTCGCTGGACCATCACTGCAGACAACAATCCACAGAGTGCTGAGATGCTGAGAATGAGAGCATCTTGTCACCCGACCAGTCCTCCAAACATATGGTAGCGGAGAGTGACCCGTCCTGCCTGTCAGAGGTCAGGTGTCACCTGGCTATGGCTCTCTTTCTTTGAGATATGCACAGCTCGAGCCTGACGCCAAGTAGAAAGAACCAATCAAAGACGGCAGATACAGATTGGGTCCGTGGCACATAAGACCACCAGACTGGGTCTACCTCATCCTCTCCCATGATTCCCAGCCAGAGAAGGGATGTGGAAATCAGAGGAGCCTAAAGTTAGATATCTTTATCCTCCAGCGAATCTGTTGGTTCTCTTGACTTTTCCTTCTTTCTCTTACTCTGACAAAGACCCCTTTTCAGAAGCCAGCCCCTAACTACCGTCCATGCACTAGCCCGACTTTTGTGACCGTGTTCTCGGACCATGGTGACTGCCGGTGTCTCGTTCCCAAACCTGAGGCTCCACTGAATCCCCCTTCTGTGTCCGGCTGAGAATGTGTGGTTTTAATTCTACGCTCCCCCTCTACCCTTCAAACCATCTGGGGGTGAACTGGCTATCACCCCAAGGGGTCCGAGGACCCTGCAAGGTACTCAGGAACCTCTGAGTTGTGGGATGCTAAAGGCCATAGGCTGCCACGAGGCCCCTCAGCTGCGGGGTCATCCCTGTGTCACAAAGCGAGAGAAGATGCATTGCTGACTTTCCTGTCCTGTCAAATCACACGGTGGGAAGGGGTAGGCTTCGCAGGCTCAATCCGGGGTCGATATGTCATTGGTGTGTTGTCTGCCAGGATGCTCCTGGCTGTGAGTGTCTGATGGCTTCCCGCCTGTCCCTCTGTCCTACTGAGGCTCCCCGGGGCAGGGCACAGGGAGGTGGGGCCCCTGTCTTCGGCAGGATCCAGTGGACCGCACTGCTGATACTAATCCCGCCCAGTGGAGGCCTGCTCTGGCTCCTGCTTCTCCACGCTGCTTCCTCTGAGCTCCTGTCCTCTCTCTGATGCCTGCTTCCTGACCTTGACTCTGACCAGTTGCCGCGGGGCTTTCCTTTGTGCTTGATCTAACCATGTGGTGGAACGATGGAAACGGAACATGGTTCTGTCAAGCACCGCGGAAAGCACCGTTCTCTCCTGCAGCATGGCCGCCGCCACCGCCACCACCGCTGGACTCTTCTCTGCTCTGGATCACCACACCTGCCAGACCCTCCTCTCCCAGTCTTGACTCACAGAGGGATGGGGGTGGGAATCCTGAAGGAGTCAGGGATATGCTGACAGGGTTTATAAGAAACCCGTTGGGACCACAAGTCCTATGCAAATAAAGTCACTATGCCTTCCAAAATCTGGTCTCAAGTGACTCCAGGAGTGACAGTTAGGTTCCAACTCCCAATTTGAGGAAGATGAGTGTACCTACGGCATAGGCCCCATTGTTTCGTGGGAGACTCCTGGCACAAGGTTACTGGGTGGTAGCTAATGCAAAGGATGAGTCATCCTGCTCATGACTTTGACCAGCACCTCTCTTGGCATGCACTTCATTTGAAACGAATGTAAGCATGGGAACAGATAGAACCAACACGGGCCTGAGACCTTGAACTTGAACCCGGTCTCCTTCTGACCCCAGCTTTCACTCCTCATGAGTGCTTAGACATAGATCCTGCTGGAACCCGGTGTCCAACATGTTTTCTTAACCTTGGAGCACAATTAATGTGGAGGTGTGGGACTCTTCATCTGGTGCCCTTTCAGAGGCCAGGAGAGGTCTGTGCAGACAATGGCTGTCTCTGACCACAGAGAGAGGGATCTTGGCACCTTCTCTTTAATTCGTCTCTTGATAAATCCTGGGCCTGGTGTAACCAGAAGACTTTGTCGTGGTTTCTTGCTGAAGTCTGTGTCTTACTCCATGAGTAAGAACTAAGGTGGAAATAAACCCTTATGTAACCGTAGGAGCCAAATTCTGCGTTGCCACCAAGCTGTATGGTTCTAACTATCTCCTCTCTCTGATGGAGACTCAGAGAAGGGCCCCAGCCACTGATGAGTAGTAATGGGTATCCTATTAGTCTCGCTGACCTTTTGATCATACAGAGAGTTCTTACTATTGGTCAGGCTCTGGATGCTTGACACCGTAACCCTCATTTTACAGATAAAGGTGTTAAGACAGGCTCTTAACTACCTGACCCAGGGTAATCTAGCTCCCAACTGGCTGTGCTCTGCCTGAGTGCTGTCAAGCCCTTTTTCTTCTGGACACTCTGCCTGTAAAGAAATTTTTTTTTTGGCAACTTTGACCTGCATGGATAGGGAGTTGGAGATGTTTTTCACATTCTCTTTCCAGCTTACATCTGCTCTCAGAAATGACTTGAGTAAAAAGGAAAGACAGCATTGTCCAAGTGGCCCTTCTTTTACAACAGGAGCATGCAAGATACCCTGGGTACAAGCAAACCGTCCTACATAGAGAAGCATCCTTCCCCTTCTTGCAGAGGAGACATTCTTGGCACTGCCCACATCATGTGAGGGCCAGACCTTGGGGAGTGAGTCCGTGATAGCGCCCTTCCTTAGTGTCTCCACGATGCTTTGGCAGTAGGTGTGTGTCTGTACCAGGGGGGCTTTCCCTCTGTTTTCAGGCAGGTGACTGAGATACAGGGACAGCTTCATGCCCAAATGGTAGGCAAACACCTAGTGTTTTCTCAACCACAGGTGTCTGGTTCCCCCAGCATGGCCTCGGAATGGATGTCTGTATCGTCTGTATGTGTGCAATGCCCTTGTTCCATTCATACTCACGACTTGTCCCTTTTCTGTCCATGCCACTGTCTTTCCAAGCTGATAAGCCCTGACAGACCTTTGTACACCCCCACCCCAGCTCCTCTTTCTAAGGTTCTTCCTCATCTCTCACCCATCCGGGGGAGGCTTGGGATAGAGGAGGAGGACTCTGGACACATGCGCTGGCTTCCCCTGCTGGCCAGATAACAGTGGGCTTGAGATGCTTCCCACTCCCCTCCCAGACACAGATGGAGAACAAGGCTATATAATAAAATAAGATTAAAGACGGCTGTCGACTTTCACCTTTCACCCAACCTCTGCCTATTAAAGTTTGTCTATGACTGTGTACCACGTGTCGTTGTTCTGAGATGTCCGCAAGTGGGGATGAGGCCTCCAAGGGCAGAGGCAGGCAAAAGCTAGGTGATGTCAGCTCCTCCGGCTGGGATTGACCTCTATGGCCTGTCTCCAAACCCTATGAGATCCCTCCCATCTGAGCTCACCCCAAGGAGGAGGAGCTTCAACCCATTTCAGTTGGTCCTCTCCTCCAAGTATTTCTGGCAGTGACAAATATGCACTGAGATTGAAATTGACTTTTAAAGCTCTGGAAAAGTTAAAAATACTTTTGGGTAGTTATGAGCATTAGGCATAACAAATGGCTCCGAGAAACCCTGGGTAGCTTCCGTAATGAAAAATATGAAGTGACGGAGGTGGCATTTCGGGCTGGCTCTGACTGGGAAATGAACTTTTTCGGTTATGTACATACGCTGTTATTAACATTTCTGGTTCCCACTCATATAAAATATCACTTTCCGACCCCCTCGTTATTACAAACCAGGGCAATAACAAAAACAGCAGGGGGGGAGAATGCTGGAGAGAACACATTAGTCCATCGAATCTAATTGCAAAATCATTTCATTAAAATGGGTCAGCAGCTCCACTGCCGAGGTCTGCCAGTTATAACCTAACGATACTACTGAGAGCGATTCCTGCTAACTACAGACTGCTCTCACCTTGATTAAAACGAAAATGCATTTAATAGGCGGCTGTCCCCAGCCAGTGCACGTCTGCAGGCTCACAGCGAAGCGCAGACTGGGCTCCCTCCTGTCTTTCTGCCTTTGCTCGGTCGTCAGGGTTCCTCTGTTTTGCGAGTATCCAGTGACAGACCTGTTTTGAAGGAAAACATAATCGTGCACGTGCCAAATGCCTCCCTATACCATCACCATGTGTCTCCACTGACAAGACCAGAATGGGCTTTCATCTGGCAGGAGCTGCAGAATAACCTAGTGTTCTGAGATGTCTAAAGAGAAAGGGTGCAGGTTTTTTTCAGTGGGTGATGCGTGCAGGCCAGGAATAAAAAGATTTATATAAAACGTTGGACCAGGAAGCTGCTGTAAAATTGTGAAACATATGCATAGGTTCTGTTTATGCAAGTCTAGGGGTGCTAAGGGGACGAAGGAAGTGGGTGGGAAGGGAGTAGAGGAACGAAAAGGAAACACCCAGACTTCTGACTCCAGGTTTCTGCTAGAGAGTGTCTTTTGAGAATGCGAGGCCCACCAGTTTTGTTCCCGATCAGCAGTGACCTCAGGAAGACAAATGAGAGCAGAGAGTACAAGAGCAAGGGAGGCGGGCATTTGCCCGCCTCATCGTCCCAGCTCCCGGGAGGAGAAACCCATTCTCTCTGCCTCCACCACATCGGGCTGGGTGGCTGTTGCTATAGATGTAGGGAATAAAGATTTGGTCACAAAGCACACTAGTCTACCTAGCGTGAGTATTAGTCACGAGGGTCTCTGAAAGCTAGCCCTAGTCCATTCTCCATGTTCCGAGAGCCCCGTAGACCTTAGAGTCTTCATCTACAACGTGACGTTCTAACCTCAGGGGTTAAGAGGAACCACCCATTTGAAGTCTGGAGAAAAGCAGCCAGCTGCTGGTTCAAGTGCGGTTAGCTGTCAACGGCTGCCTTCAGCTCCGGTGAAGTGTCTCTGACCTTTAACTACCACATGTTCTGTCATGATCTAGGAAGCACACATGTCCATACTGTGCTTGCCTGTTCCTGGAGACTCGGCCTCTGGTATAATATCCATCTTCACCCAACCCCTAGGAAATAGGAGGTGGTAGGCAGTTGCAAAACCTGACCAAATGCACCCTACAACATGGGGACTGCATGTACTCCGTGTCGCCCTGCACACTCCAAGCCATTCGCCAAACACGTAATATTCCCACACTCCAAAAACAGTTCGGAAATACACACGGGATCCTCGGGTGCTGGTGGCATTCCGCTTGTGCCTTGAAAATTGTGAAGCGAGCTCGCACTGTATGCCTGGCAATGCGCTGTTGAAATGTGGGTGCGAGAGCGTGAATAACCCCTGCACAACACGCTCACGTCAGGAGAGCCGCGTGCCCTTCCCCGTTGCCACTAGCATAATTCATGTGCTCACAGAGGTCTGTCTGACTGGCCCCAAGGGCATGTCTCAGAGACGTCAGTCTGTCAGGCCTGTTGCCATCACCAAATGACCTTGGAAGAAATGAAATTTTGAAAAGAATAAATCTTAACTCCAACTTCTAGCTCGTGGGAACTGGCCTTTTACTGGCATTAAAGAGAACTTCCTCTCTGCGGAAGTCAGGTCTGACCCCGGCTCCATTTTGTCTTCACTGTGTTTAAGAATTGGATTCATTGCCAGTGTATTTGAAATATCTGGCTTCTCCTAAGACAACACAACAAATCTCAGGCAGCTGTAAGCCAGATTCCCAAAGCATCAGCGTTGTGGGCTCCGGATACCCTGGTGCTCCACCCTCATTAAAGTCAGAATCAGGTAGGATGCTGGTGGCCGTTTAGCACTCATTGCCTGAAAGACCAGGAAGACCTCTAAGTATGTGACCCCTTCTCGTTCCTTAGTCCTACCCTCCAGTGGCCCCCCACAAAAGTCTGATCTTAGTCTCCAGTCTGTAGATGGCAAGCGTCATAGAACCAAGGACCTCCTACAACTGTAGGTTGAATTCTGTGAAGGCGCCTTGTGGTATTTCTCCGAACAGAGCATATGTAACATTAATCAACTTCTCAAAAGGTCCTTGACCCATAAACGCATAAGAGAGCCCGCAGATCTGAAGACAGAAAGTGATGGAAGACAAAAGACTGTGTGGGAAACATGTAGATGTGAGGTGTGGAGAGAGGCCAAATGGTCGTCAGTGCCGCCTGTACCTTATAAGCTGTTTCTCGCAAACCTGCATTCCCGCATGCGCATGCGTGCACGCCGTGTGCACGCACACATCTCTACCTCCCAGCTCACCCAGCCACCTCACTCCCCACCTCTACTCCCGACAACCATAGACCCCGTGCAGGAAACCCAAATGATGATGACGACCCCCTTTTTGGCCCCACATAGGCTCTGAGGATTATCGCAACAGATTCAGCAGTGAGTGTTTCATGGACCTCGTGTGCCCGGAGAAGTGCCGCTGCGAGGGCACCATTGTGGACTGCTCCAACCAGAAGCTGGCCCGCATCCCAAGCCACCTCCCCGAGTATACCACTGACCTGTAAGTCCCACCCCACTGTAGCCTGCCTACATCTCTTTGCCCATACCTAAGTCACTTTGAGTGAACTCGAATGGGGTTCTCTGTGTACTTGGCTGAGAAAGACACCCAGGCATACATGGGCAGGTTGCTTGCAAGTAAAGACCATTCGTTGGTTCTGAACACTCCTTGTAAACCAGGTTCTGCTCTAGGCTTGCATTCCTCCAGTGAACAAAGCAAATGGCACCTGCTGGCCCTTAGGTACTTAACAGTATTGCCAGAAAGCTAGATATTAAATAAAAATTATGACTAGGCAGAAATACAACTAAGATGATTAAATGTATCTAAACCACCGAATAACCAGGCTCGAAAGGTACATTGGTTTATCCAAAACTGGGCAATCTGGCTGCAACATCCATCATCCTAGTGATCATAAGGGTTGATTCTGCCAATCTGGCCAGCTAGGTGGGTGTCCCCACCCTCCTTCACTACTCCATATGTGTACCCCCAGAAGTGTCACACTCGGCTACAGAGGATGACCTGCCCTGATAGACCCTCCAAACAATCCTTCAAGGTCTAAAAAGGGAAAAGGGAAAACTTGAAGCATGGTAGAGGATAAGGGATGGCCTGTGAAGCTAACCAGACCTGCCATTTGCCTCTCCTCTTCCTCAGCCTCCCTGAGACCAGCCATGCTGCCTCTCAGATCTGAAACCCAGGTTCCCAGCTGTGATCGCTGAGGGGGAGTGGAGAGCTGGGTGGGGCGGATAACGTCTCCCTCTACACTTCAGAAGGTCTAGAAGGAAGACACAAGCCTAATAATATTTCTCTTGACTCTTGGCACAGAGCGAGCCCTGGATACACAGTGGCAGACTTGTGGCTCTGGTTGCTTTCTGTGACCGTTCTTGTCACTGGACGGCACAGTAGGCTCTGAGCACAGAGGTGCTGGGTGCGGGGACCCTGGGCCCCCTCGGACGATAAAAGTCGTCAGGAAGAGATGTGCTTGGGCTCAGGAGATCCTGAGGAACTTCCCTGGGAGTTTGGGTTGCCATTGGTAGCCCCATAAAATGGAGCCAGGAACTTGGTATCTGACTGCGTGTTTAAAGTACAGCGTGTGTCTATGTGAAGTGTGTAAGAAGCCACAGTCCCATGAAGGAGGCATGGGAAGGCTCAGACTTAGTGTCTTCCCGCCCTTTCCCATCCACCTCTCCCTGTCGAGCCCCTCACCTCATACTGGAGTTTTTCATGATTCCATTGAACTCTACTGAATGTGAAGTTCAGGGAGAGCTCAGCCAAAGCCGTGTGAGGAAGAGTGGCAGGCGAGCAGCTTAGGCTGAGCCCTGCTTCTTCTGCCTTCCCCTGTAGGCGACTGAATGACAACGACATCTCCGTCCTGGAAGCCACTGGGATCTTCAAGAAGTTGCCCAACCTGCGAAAAATGTAAGTCAAGATGGGGTGCACAAGCCACCTCAGCTCCCTGGGCCCTCACCCTTCACTCCTGCCCCTGCGCCTCCTCCTGTCCCCTGCTGGGTCCTGGCCTGGAAACCAGAGACATGGTGCAGAACGACATAGAACTTGACCGTCATCACGATGTCGGCCATCAGGTGGATCTTACGCTCCACACCTCCTTATCTCCTTTCCTTTGTCCCCTCTACTTGTCGCTGCCCCTAGTCCACATTCAGCACCTACTTTAGAAGGTGGAGGGGGTACTTGGATCTGGGATGACAACAGAATAGGGGTGCCTGGGACCCTATAGTAGTTGGCATTTGGGTGAGGTGTGCATGGAACGGGCACATCAGAAAGGAATCTCCAGCTCTTCTCAATAAGTTTGGTCACAGAGTCCCCTGGTCCAAGTAGAGACTGGGCTTAGGCAAAGGACCCGTATGCTGTTACTGGCTTCCGCAGTGCATGGCTCCTTGTCGTCCCGACCCTCTGTCTCCCTCCCTAGGAGCCGGGGCCATGTCATGAAGACAGCAAGAAGGATGCTGTCCCCTGAGATAGCCCTTGTCCTTAGCCAGGACTGCATGCCTGCCTCACGGGTACCCATTTCTTTAGTTTTCCTTCACCCATCCTGTGCTGGCTTCGTGCTCTGTGCTGGGCAGGTGAGGAGCAGTTCAATGGCCTCCCTAAGGCCACCTACTGACCACATGTCAAAACTGGCTCTCAGAGTGGGTCCCCCTCAGTCCTACCAGTGTGGTCAGGCTCACTCCCCTCCTCACCCCTTCTGGTGTCTCGGCAGAAGTGCCAGCATGGAGAGGACCGGCTTCTCGCCATCTGACTCCCAGGGCACACTTTTCTTTAACCATTCTTCCTACCCCACCCCATATCCCATCTCTCCCGGCCTCACAGAGGCAGCGTCTGTTTCTTCAACAAGTTTAACGCAGCCCATCACTACTTACCAATTCCATACTTACTAACTCATCTCTGCACGAAAATTCACAGAGCTTTAAAATCACAGCTTTTGAAGCTGTTTGTGTCATTTCCACACATATGGTCGTGAAAGCCCTACTCACCCCAACATGCGTCCCTTAACTGGGACACGCATTCCCAGCTGGGGCTGAACACGGTGGCGATGCTCTGCCTTCCGGGTTCAGCTTCAAGCTGTAAGCGAGCATCCACTTTACTGTTTATCCAGTGGCCTGGGCTTCACAGTTTTGTGCTTTTTAGTGCCAACTTTGGCCCAAGCACAGTGCTGGCACACTGTCTAGATACCCAAAGCCTGAGAGGGCTGCGCTGTGCCTCATTGAGGGCACATGCACTGTGGAGACGCTTCGTGCATTTGTCCAGGCGTGAGCCCAGCACTGCCGGCCATGTGTGCCATGTTGATGGATCAATAGTACAGTAAATACAGTGTCTGAGCAGAAAGCCTTCACAGAACAAGCTTATTATTGATCGGTTGATGGAAATGCCATGACCAGGGGCTCACAGGAACCTCGTCTAGTTTCCCCGGGAGCAGCGATTCAGTGTGTGCTCGTTCAGCGTTCCTGGTGATAGAGAATTTAACAGTCATGAATCACGAGGATTATCTGTAACTCCTCCTTTCCTGTTCATCGTATTTCTCCTCATCAGTTCCTTGCAGCCAAGGGAACAGACGCCTTCTAGGCCCTGTGCAGCTGCTCTCTCGGTGGCACCACACGTGTGTCCCTGCTGACTACAGCCACTGCCTTGGGCCACAGGCCCCTGTAAACAGGAGATGAGCTAGCTCTTTGAGGGGATGGCAGAGACCAGGGCACATGTCAGGTTGGTAAGGCTGGCACTGTGGCCCAGCACCCCTGAGCTGCTGGCACCCAGCACAATTAGCAACCACTTAGATGTGTCCTTCCCATTTCTAACCAGAGAAAGATGTGCTTTGATTTCAACCTCAAGACAGATGTGGCGGTTAAAATGGGCCAGAGGAAGGTATTGAAGTGAATCGGGCTGCACCAGTACCGATTTGCCTCGCAAACAGGATCCCAGGAGTCTTCACTTCTACAAAGAAGACCCCATACACGCCTTTTCGGTGAAAGTCACACAAATTGTGTTCCCACTTGCGATGGGGATGTGAACGCAGAGAAACCGCGCTGCCGGCTGAGGGAAACAAGAATACGAATGTGTTACAGGAGGCAGCTGGTCCCCATCCTCAGCCACATGCAACCTGAGCGTGGCCAAACGCAAGCCCAGATCCCAACCAAAGGAACAGATGCCACTCAGCTAGTCCCTTTCTTTGCCACGCAGGAGTGGAAGTTGGAGCTGCCAAATATCCCCCTCTGCTCCAGGCCAGCTAAACATTCAGGTGTGGGGCAGAACCTGCAGGCTGGCCTGCACTGACCCAAGCTCAGCTTTGTCCTTGTCCACTATGTGGTTCTAGGAGACCCTTTGGGGGCGGAGCCTTAGTTTCATCATTTGCATAATGTGAATAAATTTGCTCTTCTTGTGAGCAAGGCACTGCTCAGAGAACTAGCGCCTGCCTCATACGCACAAGACCCCGGTTCAATTCCCAGTATTGCACAAACCAAAGTAGACAAATAGGAAGAAATAAGGCTGGTAGGTATCAGCAAGAGAAGATGCCAGAATCCAGTGCCAGTGGGTCAAGTAGCCTAAAGTATCCAGTTACGTATGTAGACAGTTCTGCACAGAAAGTTTGGGGAGTCTGAGGAGTAGGGCAAAGGTGAGACAAGGCTCTGGTGACCATGATAGAACCAACATTAGCTAGCAGTCAATACTTACTGTCTGCTCTGTGCCAGAAAGTTCTAGTGTTTGTTTAATGTTACCCTCACGGAGCAAAACCAAGGGCTTTGGGATTGCTTCGTTCCACACCCGAGGGCACTGAGACAGAATGTTTGGTGACTTGTTCGAGTTTAAAACTTAAGCAGGGAGCAGAGCCAGGAGCCAGTGGCAGCCTTGAAGTGGGCTGGGGGAAGATCACTCCATGGAAGACAGTAATTGTGTATGTCCTTGCACACATGTGTGTGTATGTGTATATGCATCCATGTGTTTGTATATGCCCACGTGTACATCTGTGTATGTGCATATCTATGTGTTTGAGTGTGTCCATCCGTGTATGTGTTTGTGTCTGTATGTCTATGAGTGTATCCAAGTGATGTGTCCATGTGTATGTGTATCCATCTGTGTGTGTGTACATGTCTGTGTGTGTATGTGTGTCCATGTGTGGCGTGTACGTATGTGTGCATATGTGCATGTGTATCCATGCACTAATCAGTACCAATCACCTGACTAAGATCCCACAGGATGAATCCAGTCCCAGGCCCCCGGCTGCAGCCACTTGCCTAGCATGCCTGAAATCCTGAGTTCCATCCCTAGTTCAGCGAGATTTGGGAAGGGAATAGAAAGACAGGAGGGAGGGAAGGGGGAAGGAAAAGAGAAAAAGAGTTGTGGATTTCCTTGCAGTGACTTCAGCCCAGTTATGATGCTGAGGAGACACACCCATACATAGCCTAAAAACCAGACAGCCTCTAGCAAGCCATGGGCACATGGCTGGATTTGTTGCTACTTTGCTATGCTGTTTTTTAAATAAGAGTTAGTTTCCCACTTTTAAAACCAAGGAGCTTTCACAGAAGCCATAAGATCTTGTTTTCTGGTACCTGTGGGCTATCAGATACCCTGGCAGAACTGGCCCCATAATCTCAGGTTGGCCCAGCAGAGTCAAACAGAACAGCAACTACTGCCTTAGATGGACATGAGGTCCTGGTCACCTTTGTTTCCAAGGGCCCTGCTTCTCATAACCATTAAATCACCTGCCTGGAGCCCGTGAATACCTAAGCCTGTAGTAGTCCTTCAGGGAGGGACAGGCTCATGGTCCGTGGACAGAACCACCTCATCCTGGCAGTGTGCCCGAACATGTGCTTAGGCTTGGCCCGTTGTCCTAAGTCTCCAGAAAGGACACTTGGCTCTCTGATGCATTCCTCCTGGGACTGAGCTTCAAACAGGACTATAGCTGTGTCCCCACTGTAGGAGGAGCTGGCTGACCCTGTAACTCCAGGGAATAGTGAGTGGCCTAGAAGAGCCTGGCCTCCTCTGCCTGGGCTCAGGCTGGGAGCTGTATTAATCCTCTTGTGTGTGCCTCTGTGTTCTTCGGGGAGAATGGAGTCGGGCACACAGCAGCCTGCAGAGGCAGTACACGTGAGGCCTCTGAACCACCACTAGCCCAGCATGCATTTCTGTGTCTGGACTGTAGTCAGAGCCACAAGAAAGCACCTTTGTCATTTATTTATTTTTTTTTTTAAAGTTTGCAAGACCTTTATTTTTTAGATTGATTTATTTATTATCTATACAGTGTTCTGTCTGTCTGTATGGTTGCCGGCCAGAAGCTGGCACCAGATCTCATTACAGATGGCTGTGAGCCACCATGTGGTTGCTGGGAATTGAACTCAGGACCTCTGGAAGAGCAGTCAGTGCTCTTAACCTCTGAGCCATCTCTCCAGCCCCAAAAGCACCTTTCTCTAGATAGGTCTGTAGAGACAAAGGGAGAGAGCCCACTAACTGACTGCATCTGTGTTCTGAGGCTTCCTGGGAGCAGAAGCATCACAGGGAGACACTACATTGCAACCTCATCCGAGCTCTTAGAAAATCCAGACACACTCGTTTTCCAGAATATTTGCTCTAAGCTACACTCTGTTCCCCACCCTCCAATCCAGACTTCAGGGGTAAGCCCAGCTTCGACGGATAGAGAGGGAACAGCAGTACTTCTGGAAAGCCCTATAACTACACCCCCACCCCACTTCTGTTTCTCATTCTCCCCGACTAAGGAAATGCAATTCGCAAACCTTACAGCAATGGGATGCTAATTTTGCTCTGTTGAAGAAACAGATGTCAGGGAATGGCCCTCCCACCCCCACTGCTCTGTCTTCCAGTCCTCCTGCATGCTCATCCCCAATCAGCCTCCCACCCCAGAAGCTAACCCTGTTAGGAAAACCTTGACCTCAGTTCCTACGTCTAGCTTGGGGGTCCTATGCTGTGTCCCCCATGCACTCCCTCCATTCCTGGCTTGTCCCTGACCAGGACTATCAGAACTGATAAGGAGACAGGCTGAGTACTAAGTTATCACAGAAATGGTTTCCGGTTCCGGAGTGCTCCAGCTAACAGGCCTTAGGGGAGGGGCTTCGGGGGGCTTAAGCAGGAGAGGAAGGGGTTGGGGAGCAGAGAAAGAACAAAGAGAAGATGCTTTAAAAGATGGAACAGCTGGAGTTTGTCGCCTCTATAGCTGTCTACTGGGGTTGGCACTGCTGTTCCCTAGGTGCCCAGGCCACCCATGGGAAAGGCAGGTGTCCAACATTGGACCCTTGGGTATCATTATTTTACCATGTGCTGCAAGTTGGTCACCTGTCCATCTGGAAGGCTTCATTCCTGTGCTCTGTGAAAGGGTTTGTATGGCCCTATATTCATTCAAGGCTCTGGCATGAAGCAGTTTCCACCCTTACCAAGAGGTCTGGGCATATGGCCAGTGTCTGCAAGTCCAGCAGTTCAGCCAAACTCACATGCTCAGTGAGTCAGCAACATCCTCAGAGTTTCCTGTCCACAGTAGGAACATCATCAGGTTTTTACTTCTACCCAGAAAACTATGCGTGCCTTCAGCCTGGACCACAGGATGGTCCATGGACTCCCTACTTCTGACTCCTGAAAGAACTCTGAGAACTAGAATTTTCCATGGCTGTGCGGGATCTGCCTGCTGTCCCTGTCCTAGTATGGTCTCCCATGCTCTGGACCCCAGGTTTCAGAGAAAAGGGTCTGCTCTCAGATCAGGGCATACTCAGGGATGGCAGCACTAGGGCTGGGGAAGAACCGGGGTGCTGTGAGAAAACCAAGATCCCAGTACTGGGGAGATGAGTCAGTTGGTGGAGTGCTTACTGCACACTCATGAAGATCTGTTGGATCCTCAACATCCATGTATATCCAAGGGCAGCAGCATATGCCTATAATCCTAGAACTGGGGAGGAAGAGACAGGAGGATCCCTGGGGCTCACTAGCCAGTCATTCTACCTGAGCCAGGCAAGCTCCAGATTCAGCGAGAGACCATGTGTCAGAAAATAAGGCAAAGAACAACTGAGAAAGATGCCTGACATTGACCTTTGGCCTTAGCACATACACATGTACACATTTGTATGCGAGTGTGTATGTACACACACACACACACACACACACACACACACACAATCAAAGCCTCCCAACTTGAATTCTGCAACTCAATTATGTTGACTGAGTTTTCTGTCCTGCCCAGTTCCCGCAGTCATTAAGTCCCAAAGAAATCACACAGAGGTCTACATTAACTATAAACTAATTGGCTCATTAGCTCAGGCTTTGTATTAACTCTTATAATGTATATTAGCCCATTATTCTTATCTTTGTTAGCCACGTAGCTCAGTACCTTTTTCAGCGAGGCAGTCACATCTTGCTTCTTCTGTGGCTGGTCAGGACTGCAGAGGAATGGGCTTCCTTCTTCCCAGAGTTCTCCTGTTCTCATTGACCCACCTCCACTTCCTGTCTGGTTGTCCCTCCCCCATACTTCCTGTCTGGCTACTGGCCAATCAGCGTTTATTTAAAATATAATTGACAGAATACAGACCATTCTCCCACACCACAATTATATAAAGCTGTCCTCACACCTCCAGAGAAATAATGGCGTAGGAAAGGGAGGGGTCGTTTCTTCTATCTTATGCTCCTCCTGTCGCAGAAAGTCCAGCTTCGTAATCCAGCGCTTTCGGCTGTGCAAGTTTGGGAATGTTATGCAATTTTCCTGGAACCCAGCCTCCTCAGCCATAAAATCAGACAGTCATATTCGTCTGTTGGATGTTGTTTGAGGGTCTGATGAGGTTACGGTGGTTGGCCTCTCCTAAGTAAGAAGTATCTGCTTGTGAGGGGCTTCTGCTGAGAGACCTCCAAGCCCCTCACATGAGTTCGCCCCCACTGGGGGGCTGCTTTTTGTTTTTCTCCATCCCTCCTTCAAGGACCACTGCTCAGTGAGAGCCCTGATTGAAGAGAAGAAATAATAGTGAATCTCCCAGAACATCCAATAAGTGATTACACTAAATACCCCTTAAGCCTTGGGCTGTGTGTGTTACTCCACCCGTTAAGATGAGTGCCTCCCTGTCCCAGAGCACAGATGCTGAGGACCCAGCGTCAGGGAGCTGGAGGCTGAGAAACCTCCACCTACCTGATTCTCCTGCTTCTACCCCTTCCTTCTAGAAACCTGAGCAACAATAGGATCAAGGAGGTGCGAGAGGGTGCCTTCGATGGAGCAGCAGGCGTGCAGGAGCTGATGCTGACGGGGAACCAGCTGGAGACCATGCATGGACGCATGTTCCGGGGCCTCAGTGGCCTCAAGACACTGTGAGTACCCAAACCTGGGCTCAGGCCCAGAGCGGGGAAGCAGGAGGGGGGGAGTGAGGGCTGGACTGTGAAGGCTGTGGACATGGAACCAAGTCAGGTCCATCCTGGCCTTGTGGGTCCCTTCCTCTCTACCGCATCAGACTTTCCCACCTTTAATGCAAGGAAGCTGACATGTGAGCCTACCAGCATGCCCACACACCTGAGCGCATCCCACTCAGAGCCACCCTAATGCACTCATGTGCATATTCCTACCAGAAACATAGTGAGGGATGCGCACAGACACTCATGCGCCCATTACTCATTAACACAGAAACACGTGATATATTCCTAAATACATCTGCAAGCAAGCATCCACGTTCAAGCACATATACATACACTGAACTCACATGTGGGTCCTCTTCCTCCTGGAAGTACATGCGTGCACACTGCCAGCCATACCATCTGTACAGGTGCATGTGGATAGCCTTGGTTTGTGTTGATGATGTGTCTCAGTTACTTTTCTATGACTGAGAAGAGGCACCATGACCAAGGCAACTTATAAAAGAAAACATTTAATTGGGGCTGGCTTAGAGTTTCAGAGGGTGAGTCCCATGACCATCGTGGCTGGGAGTGTGAAAGCAGCAGGTAGATAGGGATGGAGCTGGAGCAGTAGCTGAGAGCTTACATCTGATCCACAAGTGTGAGGCAGAAAGACAGAGCCAACTGGAATGGCATGGACTTCGGAAACCTCAAAGCCCACCCCCAGTGACACACCTCCAAGATGGCCGCCCTCCTGATCCTTCCCAAACAGTTCCACCAATTGGGAACCAAGCATTCAAACATAGGAGCCTATGGGGACCATTCTCACTCAAACCGCCACACAGTGAGTGAAATACAAATTCATATACATTGGCGTTGGTCCCAGTGAGGGTCCAGGCCCCTGCTCATCATCAGCCAAGCCTGAACAGTGACTGACTGAGCCAAGAGATGGCTGTTTACCTTTTGAGAGGTGAGAACACTACCCATGACCCTTTCCCGTCCTCTTCTAGGATGCTGAGGAGCAACCTGATCAGCTGTGTGAGCAATGACACCTTCGCAGGCCTCAGCTCTGTGAGACTGCTGTCGCTCTATGACAATCGGATCACCACCATCACCCCTGGAGCCTTCACCACACTCGTCTCCCTGTCCACCATGTGAGTGCCCCCAGGTGTGCTGCCCATTTCCTCTGGGCCCCTCCCTGCAGAACTTCCTGCTATCTCAGCTCCCCAGACTGGGGCCAAGGTCACCTGCCCATCTGTTTATTTAATCGACATCTTCAGGCTCCCCATATGTGCCGGATACCGTCTAAGTACTAAGGGTTACAGACCTGGCTCCTTCTCCGTGGGGCTGGCAGCACAGTGAATTGTCCCCATGATGAGAACGTCCAACATGAGCTTTGTGGATTAGTTTGTTGAAGAAAGGGAGGGAATGCATTTCCTTTAGCAGGGACAGTCGTGCCAAGGCCCTGTGGTTGGTTGGAGCAGAATAAATCTGCGGAGCCCAGCAAGGCCATTGGGCTGAATATGCTGTGTAAGATGGGACCAGAGAGGAGGCCAGGGTCAAACTGCATGGCCACAGGGATGCTTTAGTCTTCAGAGCACACCACCAACATGGACGCTTTGCCATAGAAGCTTTACTATGGTCTGATCAACAGTGGCTTTTAAAGGGTGATGCTGTCTACGCGGGTGTTTGTCAAAACCAGAGTTGGAACCCGTCTTTCTGGGCCTGTGAGTGAGCACTCTGCCCGAGAAGTCCCCTGTAAGGAGCACTCTGCAGGAGTCCTCCCGAGGACGGGGGCATAATAGGACAGTGGTCGTTGACTGTAAGGCCATGTTTCCCAGGTTCAAATCCTAGCTTCCATAATAATAGGACAGTGGTTGACTGTAAGGCCATGTTTCCCAGGTTCAAATCCTAGCTTCCTCTCCTTGGCTGTGGCATCTTGAGACTGCTTCTTTATCTCAGTGTATCCGATCCCTCCCAGCACTGCCCACCTCCCGTGTCCTGCTGACAGTGTGATCTGCATGGGCAGGCCTCAGGACAGACAGTTCTCAAAGGGCGTTTGCTTCACGGTTGCGGGCGATGTTGCCTGTACCTCCCCTGTCCTTAGCGAGCAGTTACCTGTCCCATCTCCTTTACTCATAAATGAGTAAATAAACTCTTGCACCCCCTGTCACTGTCCCCCTGAGACAGAAGTAGAGCTGCAGAGCGGCTTGGGACCAGTCGTCCGGTGTCGCCCAGTTAGTGAGCCCCTCTGCCCTGCTGCCAAGTCCCCCCCCCCCCCGACCTCATACTTCACACCCTGTCCGAGGACTCTGCAGTGGCAACTCCTGGATTCCACAGCCTAGGAACCCCCCTTTCATCCTCTCTCCTCTCCCTTCTTGGGTCACGTGGCCTGCCCCTCCCCTGCCCACCCTCTGCCTCAGTGGCATGGTGCCAGGCCTGGAGCAAGCACTCAGAGTGACAGCTGCTACCACCCTCGTCCCTTCCCCCATCAGTCTGTCATGCCGCGGCATAGACAGTACTAAATCACCTGTGGTGCACAGGCTGGCTTCTGGATCCGGAGAGGCCAGCAGAGATGCCAGCCTCACAGAACTCAGTCAGTGGGCAGCTGATGACAGTCACAGAAATAACCATCTCAGCAGCCCCAGGTCAGGGACACTGACAGTCCAGCCCCACAAACTGCAGGCATTTCCTGGGGGAAGGAGGACAGAGACACTAGCCTCAAGTAGAGGAAATTGTCCCAGAGACCTCGCCAGCTTTGCCCAAGTGGGGCTGGATGGACAGAGGAGGCCAAGGCTGGAGGTCACAACACAGCTGTTAGCGTGGGCTCTGGTGAGGAGACCAACAGACATCCCACTGTGTTTAGAGAAAAATTCTGCATCCTCCAAGAAGATATGTCAAGGCCTCATCACTGGCCAGGGAAAGCTAGCCTGGGCTACAGGAGGGGACCCTAGTGACCATTCGGGCTATCTCTCCCTCAGAAATCTCCTGTCTAACCCTTTCAACTGCAACTGCCACCTGGCCTGGCTCGGCCGGTGGCTGAGGAAACGCCGCATCGTCAGTGGGAACCCCAGATGCCAGAAGCCCTTTTTCCTCAAGGAAATTCCCATCCAAGACGTGGCCATCCAGGACTTCACCTGCGAAGGTAAGAGGGCGTGAATCAGGAAGGCAAGGCAGGCAGCTGAGACCCCAGACACTATCCTCTGTAGGAATGCCTTTGTACCGGCCATGTCACCTGCTGTGCCCACAGTGGGCTTGGTGCCCCTTAGATGATATACCACTCTATAATGTACACAGCCTACGCAACAGGGCAGGGAGCTCTTCCTGTCTATGTTACGATGAGAGTCAGAATATGTAATAATGGGAAACAGACTACATGAAAATTCCTGTCATTTGATTATGAGATATGAACCCACAAATCTGAGACTTTGGGTCTCAAGACCCCAGAAGGCATATTTGATTGCATGAATTCAAGTCAGTATGATTCTTTACTTGATGATTCTTTCTGTTGCCTTAGAACAGAAGGATTTGTTCGAAGATTAATTGAGGTGTATTATAACGAGGCTGGTGACAAGCTTGCCACCCTATAGGGTCTATAATATAGTGGTGGGCAGAGAGGAGAAAGTAAAAAGAGAGGAGAAGGACTGGGCTCTGCCTCTGCCTGGCTGCTTCTTTCGATGCCATGGCTTATTCCCCGTGTGACAGACAGGAGCCCCTTTCCTATCTGTGGCCATGCATCTGGGTTATCACCTTGACGGGTCTTCATTTCCCACAGAGTACAGTAAATGGCAGTATACCTCCCCGTGCTCCCAGGCACTCGACCTTCCCCTCTGGCAGCGGAAGAAACCAGTAGCTACCTTTCCTTCTGGCTCAGGCTCACTGCTGGGACTAGTCAGAGCTGGCCCTTGCTGCGAACAGTCTGGTCCTGTCAGCCAGCTTTGCCCAGTTGTTCTCCTAGCGGGGCTCATCTTCTACCCGGCTCACGCTGTGTGGGTTCTCCACAGGCAACGAGGAGAGCAGCTGCCAACTAAGCCCGCGCTGCCCCGAGCAGTGCACCTGTGTGGAGACTGTGGTGCGATGCAGCAACAGGGGGCTCCGTGCCCTCCCCAAAGGCATGCCGAAGGACGTGACTGAACTGTAGGTACCACCCCCAACCCCTGAGGCCTCACCCTTCCTGCTGTACCCCAGCATCTCAACTGAGGGTGTGGGGACATGCCTGACTTCGCTGGATCCCAGCAGAGCTTTTCTCGGTGGTTGGGAGCTTTGAGTGGTGTTGGGGGCTGGGGTTGAAGAGGAAGAGGGAGGCCAACTCTAAACCATCTATTCCTGGTAAGAGGAATGCCTGACCCGCCACTCTCTAAAGATACTCCAGAGTGCAAATGGGCTGCCGTATTTCTTGCGCCCTCCAAAAACCCCTATGCTGTACCCTGCCTTTCTGGACCCCATGAAGCTTGTCTAACCTTAGTTATAGCACAGGGTATTATGAGAGCCTCTTGTTGTACATTGGAGGTCCCACATACAATGTAGTGATCCTATCTCTCCTTTGAGCAATTCAGTCAAGCAGGTGATGTGTCAGCGCTGAGTCACACCCGCTCTAGAACTTCTTCCCAGCTCAGACTCCTCACAGTCTCTCCCCAGATCTTGTTCCTGGACCAGAAGCTCCAAGTTACACGAAACAGGTGGCATGTTCTCCCTTTGGGGGAAGCGGCAGCCTGTCTGCTTCCGTGGTAGATAGGCCTAGCTCTCAGTCAGACATAGGCGCTGGCCACCTGGTGCAGAACATCGCAGGCTCGCACCGCCTGCCCGTGCTCTCTCACGCTGCCCTCTCTTCTGCCATCATCCCCTGGGGATGAGGTGCCTCATACGTCAGGCTCGATGCCAGCGTGGAGAGATGACACCTAGCGAAACAGGTGGGCCCGGCACTCATGAGGCCCGTGGTCTCTCGGGGGGAAAGAAGACATTTGGTCTGTCATCTCTGGAGCTCACAGGACTGTGAAGCTAGCAGGGGGCTGCGAAGGAGAGGTTTACCTAGTTGTACCATTCAGAGAAAGCTTCTCTGGGATGTGACGCTGTGATCAAAAGTGCCACGCAGGAGCAGGGACTAGCAGGGCGGATGGAGTGGGACAAGCAGAAGTTGTTACACCAGTGGAGACCCTGAAATGCGAACTGGAAGAGCCAGGTGAGGGGACCGACAGAAGGTGACGGTGTCCAGACAACGAGATTCACACCACCACTCACACCCACCCTGTCACACTTGTGTGTCAGAACTCCACCCCAGACCCCAGGTCCACTCCTTCTGCTAGGGCCATCTGGGCTTGCATCCTCAGACATAACTGACAGAATGTGACGTGACCCAGATTCCTTCTGGGGAATCTATTGCTTCCCAGGCCAGTGTCTCCTAGGTGAGCTGTGAGCATGGCAGCCTCTTAGAATGCAAACAGATCTTAGGTGGGACTGTCACTTCTGGCATTCCCGGATGCTCAGACAGGTTGTCAAGGGTACTGGCAGCCCCAGGGAAGGAAAGGAGGTCTGACAGTCACTAAAAGACCCTGTCAGGATGGGTAAAGGCTGAGGCTGAGCCCTCGAAAGTCTGGGTGAGCAAATGCAATGTCGTGTGGTGAACAGTGTCCAGGCAGAGGAACAGCAAAAAAAAAAAAAAAAAAAAAAAAAAAAAAAA